GTTTTTGGGCCCTAGCCAGACTCGAGTAAAAAAGAGTTTGTGGAGTGTGTGTGACTCTGCTAGGAGGTAGCTCAGAACCATGGAGAGCTCTTTTAAATTCCAGTATGGGGAATAATGGGCATCCTTGATGTTTTTCTTCTTACTGTTGCTAAAATTAGCCTGAGCTATTCAGAAGTGAAGGAAGCTGAAGGGCTAGAAAAAGCCTACACTGAGAGTAGGAACAAGACTGTAATACCTATACTACTTATAAAAGAGTAGTTGGAAAAAGCCTAACTTGCAAGTTAAGGAATTGTGTGATATTGCTGTAAAGCAGTTAAACATAGGAGCTGCTGGCTATGATAGTCACATCCTTATTATATCATGTTCACCACAAAGGAAAATACTGCTTTTCTCACAAATAATGAATTTATACACAATTATTCTATGAAGGAAATGGCTTTCTCTGTGGCTGTGTAGGTTTACTTAGGAAACAGTAAGAATAATACAATTTTAGGTTTTTCCTACACGTGCTTGACTTCCAAATTGATTCATATGGTGATATAAAATCCTGTATTCTGTTACTTATTATCAGTCTGGAATACTTGAATGGGATTTCACTAGAATTACCTTCGAGAACTTACCCAAATTTAGCTTTTAAGTCTTCTGTTACTCTAACGTACTAATATTTCTTTAATAATTACAGACCTTACATGGAAAATGAATTTAAAATCTTATCTTTAGAATGTTTACCTTATAAAATAAGGTATTCTTTGGTTAAAAACATCAAGCTTGCTTTAATTGCTGTAGAAAAATTATATATATCTGGGCACAGAGACACAAAAATCCCACCTTACAAATAAAAGAAAATAGCTCACTCATTAAAGCTGATAGTTGCTAACACTCGCCATGGTTTGACAGCAAATTTATGCATTAGGGATAGTTGTTATGAATAAAAATGGTAATTCTGATTAACAGTGTAAACTTAAAGTATTAAGTTTAAAAGGACATAACAGGAGCTAAGCAAGAAGCTAATACTTTCAAAGGTGTTTTAAACTCAGCAAGTTTTAAACTCACCTCTCATTTTTCCTTAATAATGTGTCATGCCAATTTTGAGAGGAAAAGGTATTGGCAGCATTTGTGTGAGGTTTTGACTTGCAACTTCATAGCTCTGTTTTATTCTTAGCCTTACTATTGTACAAAGTGCTCTGAGTTTTTCAGTTCCTTCACTTTTAAATAAATGAATAGATTTTAGATCAGTGGTACACTTGAGCTATGGTGATGGTGAGGATCACATGCAGAAAGCAATCAACTTTTGGTGGCATGGAGCTCTACAAAAGCTGTAAACCAGTGTAAGTTAGACAGCATGAACCTGTATGCTAATGCAAGTAAATTGCTTCCCATAATTGAATTAGCTCATTAGGTGTCTTTTTTGATGCTTTTTAGTGTGTAAAGTACTGTATCCCAAGTAAAAGAAAACTGGAGTGCCAAGGGAAATTTTTGCAGGCTGAGATTCACATATTTTGGCACAGTGGAATTAAAGTTAAGGCAGATGCTCCTTTATCATATGGCAGTATTACTATTTGCAATCCACACTAAATTTTGTCTTGCTCTAATAAAAGTACTGCATAAAACATGGTTCAATTTGAACTAGAAAATGGTGATAAAAAAGCAAATCTGATTATTTAGTTAATGATCCCATTTGACATTCTTTCCCTGATGTGGCCCGCTCAAAACTGTATTCCAGCATTTCTTTCAAATCACCCAGTCTCCAAGCCTGCCATATATAAGAAGAAAGTCTTTTAGCTCAGTTCTGTGACTGTTTATTTTTTCCCCCCCCAGCATCTGAAACCATATAGCCTTCACTATGCTTTGATTTTGCAAAACCTCCTGGTTGCAAATATCAGTTTTCTTATGGCTGCCAAGTGTCATGCATTTTTGCATAACTATTACAAACTCAGCAGCTCTCTCATCTGCCTGTCTTTCATCTTGATTTATAAACATCCAGCTGAGTTGTGAACAGACTGATGTTAAGTTTCCTGGTTATTAGATTTTTGCATGTTGCTTTGATGCCAGCCAAAAGAGAAAAGATCTTACCTCTGATCTTGCTTCTGATGTTTGCAGCCATTAAGGAATGACGTGGGGAAGTAAGTGCAAAAGAAAGGAAAGTTTAGTGGAGCGCTTCAGCAGAAACAAGAACGGAAAAGTCAAATATTACCTTAAGGTTGTTTTTTTTCTCCCTCTCTGTTCCTTTCCCGGGGCATCCAGATTATTCTACTGATAGGAAGGTGCACTTTCCCCAAGAAGAGGCAGCTGTACTTTGGTCCCAGATGAGCACTGAAACGGGAGGCAAATGTTCTATTAAGTTCTGTTAAGAAAGGGATGCACCATTTCTGTTTCTTAACTCTCAAATGACTAATGCAGGGCAGAAAACCCTCTTCTGTCCAGCTTCTTGATTCAACTACTATATGTTTTTGAAAGCATTTTTGGTGCTTTAATTAAAAGGGAATAAGCAATTTGGAATCCTTTACTTAATGAAATAATCTATTTCCGTGCCTGTTTCCTTTATCTGTTTTGCACTTACGTGTTTAGGAGCTACTTTCTCCTACCTCATGAGCCATATTTATCCAGGTGGAACTCCTAATCTTCAGTTTTTTTGTGTTTATTTGCAAGTGTGCGAACAATCAGTGTCACAAATTCTTTCTTTTTATAACACATAAGTTATGTCCTTCTAACTTCCATAGTCTGTTCTTTTACTTCATTGCTTCCAAAGATTCTCTTCCTGTTTTTTTTTTTGGAATGAGGCTTCTGCAAGGATTATCAGTAGATTATTAACTTACTACTGTGGAGGAAGATCATGCTTCATGTTAGAGGCTTGAATTTTTATTATTCATCAACTGTGGTTTTATTAGAATAGGGTTCTATGGAGTCAATACAGTAAGTAAACAAGAGAAAATAAACCTTTGCTATCGTGTGATTGTCCTGTTCATTTTCTGAGGTGATTTTTATCTTACAAAGACATTTCATTAGTTCAGATTAAACAAAGGTAACTTCTCACTTCACTGTGCTTCTGGTTAATACATTATCCTAGTAGTTTAAAAGGATTGTAAAAGTGAAGACAGCTTTATCCATTGCTTATTAAAATGAATCCATGTATGTAATTTCCTAGGAGGAGTGCATTGTTTCTGTAATTGACTATTTTATCATTCTAAAAGAAGAATCACCAATAAGTTTTTCTCTGTTTGACAGAAAATCTTGTATGTTTGTCAAGTACGCTGCTCTTTTTCTTTTAAGGTACAATTCCCTCTTTTGTTCAAAATTACATTGATTTAAAAAAAAAAGAGAGAAATTACAGTATCTTTTTTGAAGCTTTTAAATGTAATATGTTACAAGAACTGTGACCGCTTATATTTATTACTGTATCTAATATGAAGGAGTGCTTATTATTTTCAAACTGTATTTGTTGCTGTTGATGTACTGTTGATTCTTTTATCTAGTTTGGAAAAGTAATTACTTCTGACTAGATTCCTAACTCCTGATAAACTCTTTCAAGGTCAGTGTTCTATGTATAGGTTTAGCTTAAAAGCCCCCAAGTGCTGTGGGTATGGACTCCTCTGAGCCACTGCTGTTGTGATAACTGAACCATTAGGTGTTCATGTAGCATAATTTTGAGGAATATTTGGTCTCTGATACTAAAAGTACTTAAATTGGTGTTTTGATAGTTTGCTTTTTATCTCTGACCAGAAGCTATGTAGTTGAAGTAGGATTAGTACTTAACTCCATTGTGGTTTTTGTTACTGTGTGTGTGCTTCATTTTTTTTTTCTTCCAGTAGAAATAAATTTAGTAATTACAGGGGCATAGGACCCTGAATTTGCCATAATTTTTATGTGGTTCACCTTAGGCGTTCTCCATGTAATTAGCTCTTCAAAGGAAACCAAATGTTTTTTAATTGAAAAAGTGCTCAGTTTTATTAGAGTAACAGTTAGGATAATTAACACTTTAAGTTTTGCAAACTCAGTGAATAGGGAAGAAAGAAGAAAAGGGAAAAATTTTTTACAAGGTTTTTTCTGCCCACATTGTCACTGTGAGTGTAGTGTTGCTTCTACTTGCTCACAGTTAATTCAGTGCCTTCAAGCCTTGATCTGCATGAAGAAAGCTTATGTTTCTTTGAGAGATAGCAGGAATTCCCTTGAAATTTTGGAAGTTGTATTCTTTTGCTATGGAATACTTTTAAAGAGCTGTTCAAATTATTTGTATTTTGTTTTCTCCAAATTTCCAGATCTGTGATTTTTCCAGTGATTATTCCAGTGACTTTTAGAATTTTGATTGAAAGAAAATTCTTTCCAAGGTTTCCTTAACTTACTCATAATTTTTATAAATGACAAAATATGTGAGATAATATATGAAGAGTCTTCTATTAATTTTATTAAAATTAATGTTAAATATTCTATCTTGGATTTTATTTTTTATTTCTTTCCATTTCAAAGTTTTGCCTGATATTTTGATCAGGGAGTAATGCTTAGAGATGGGTAAACAATTATTTGACAAAACTGCTAAATGGCTGAACTGCTTTAATTGATTATGCAGATTTATATCTTTCATTCAACATGTATAACATCTTCCAGCTGCAAATTTGATGGTATCTGTAAATATTAATGAATCAACTTCAAACATAATTTTGAAGTTGGCAAATATTAACAAGGGAAATTGGGGCCTGGTGAGACTGACTTGTATAATGTACTCATAAAATCAATACAAAGACTAAAATATTCTTTCATTTAGTTCTTTGGTTGCTAGATCACACTGTATCTTAATCTAGATATAATGAAAGATGGTAGTTAAAAATATTCTGATTGAGTGATTGATCTTTGTGGATAATCTGTCATTAGCTAAATAACAAGTAGAAAATGTGGTATTTTAAAAGAAAACATTAGATTCTTGCTCACAGTTATGATGAAGATAAATCAAAAGGAAGTTGTTCTTACAGAATGTGAAATTAAAGGGATTTCTTTTTTTCTTTCAGTTACTAATTTCACTGACTGCCGGAACAGTGGAATTAGATGTCAACCTCCAACCTCCATGATGCAGTTGTGTTTCCTTCCTTCTGTCAGGGACAGGGTAAGCCGTTCTTCATACGTGTTGTGAAGTTAGGATTTTTTAAAATGTACTGCTATTTATGTGACTGATAAAATACATTGTATGTTTGCATGTTATGCCTTTTAGAATAATATTTTTTTACGTACCAAAAGCTGTAAAAGTTATTTTATTTCATGGAATCACATCCTAGCTGGCTTTAGGAAGTTTCTTTGGGGATCTTCCAGCCCAATCAGTGATCAAGGTAGGGTTGATTGGAGTGCATTGCCTGGGTCTGTGCCCAGACTCCTGGGATGAAGGCTTCACTGACACTTTTTGCTGCACTTTCACCAGTGTGACCATGTCATATACTAAATACACGGAATTTATTCCAATGTAACATGTTGTATAAAATAAGCTATCATGGGAATTTTTAATAATGAATTTATTTGATCATGAAAAAGAAACAACTGCAATTGTCCTGCAGATTTATTTTTCTAGATATTTTGAATCAATCTTTTCTACTTTCTACTTTTTAAAAAATTTTGCCATCAAGCATTTGTATTTATTGTAACCACTCTTTTTTTTTTTTTTTTTGAGGAATAATTTCCATTAACATCTGATTGATTTATTGATCTGAAATTTCCTAAGTATGTGGATTTTGGTTTTGTGGGATTTTTTTTTGTTTGTTTTGGCTTCATTTTGTTTTGGTTTTGTTTCTGTTTTTTTCTTAATGGTGGATATTTAGACTTGGGAGGGATAAAAATCCAGAAATTACCTGGGTAATTTGTACCATTTTGAACAGCAAGGAGATAATGTAAAGGAATATAATAAAATAGAAAGTAATATTAGAAATTATTTTGGGTTGGAAGAACTAAGACCTTGTTCAGTGCTTCAAAGTTTATTATTCTTGATAACAGCCCAGGTATTTGTCGTAGTTAGGGGTCACTGATAGAGGAGGAGGAGGAGGCTTATCGGACATAATTTCATACATTCCTTAATTACTTTCCTACATGATTCTGATTGAATTTAGACTTGTGAGGAAAATTGCACTTATTATTCTCTCAGCTTCAGTTTTTCCGCTACACACCACCTTAAGAACTTGAAAAAAGCAGTAGCCACCTTGGTTTGGTGATCTCTGTCATGTCTTTGCTGATCATCAGTCTTTTTAGGGAATTTATTGATGCTACTTTGGTTGAAAATGCAGCAACTCTTGAGCTGTTGATGATCTCTTAATTTGTATTCTATATGTGCTCATCCTGTTGATTTATTTTGGTTGCATCAGTAAATATTGACTTCCTAAGAGAAGAGTAAATTTGGCACAAGATTACTAATTGGTCATTCTGAATATTTGTCTGTTTATTCCTCTGCCTTCCATTCTGAAGGTGTTTTCATTTCAAATTTTCACAAAGCTGTTTTCAGGTATAAAATGCCTGTTAAATTGAAAATAGTTTCTGGGCTTCTCAGCTGAGCATTTTACATCAAATACACACTATAAGCTCTAAAGCAATACCAGAATCTTCCCCTACATTCCCCGGCTTTGAATGTTTTGTCTGTATTATGTTTTGTATTGTGCTAAAGCTTCTAAATGAATCTTCAGACGACTCTTCTCAAGTTGATAATCTTGCTTTTAGACTTGAGGTTTTAATTCCTAAAGTCCTATTAATTTACCTTCATAATCTCTGTAAGTCTGAAAAATCATCTAGCTTCTACATTCTGTGACAGAACCTCTTCAGTGAAATCTCAGGAAGGATAAATCACATTGTGTCTTTCTCCAAAGCTTGTTCTGATTGGTTAAGTTTTTGTTTTCTAACCAAATGAGTGGACCTGGAGCTTTGACACACTTAAGGAAGTCTCTCAGTACCACCTCTTCTTCTCAAATGTTTAATTTGGAAGTAATCTGCAGATTGTGTCAGATGCATAGACCATATTTATTCATGCACAAGTATAAGAGAATATCATGCAAATTGCTCAGAGCAGTCTGTACAGATATAAAATTAGACTTGTACAGAGAGAAACACTAGTAAGGAGGGAGCTGTGGATGTGTAAGTAAATAGTGAGTGAGTCTAATGATTATGTCTACTTATGGCCTCTGATATATGTGAATAGAAGTTAAGAAACAAGAAGTAAATTTCTACAATTATTAAGTATATGTATGGAATACTACGAATTGTATGTCCTTGTTCCAGAAAAAAGAGGAAGTGGATAGTTTTTTTGGGGAGAAAAAATATAACTAAACCAGTGAGCTTGACTAGGAAACTAAATGAACTTCATTTTGGATACTTCTAGAACACAAACATTGTTCTGTCAATGTGTTTCTGTTCTCTGGTTGAAGAAAACAATAGATATAATTTGTATGTTAATAAAGGTAATTAAAGAGTTATAGATGAATGAAATGCTTTCCAAATTGTTTCCAGTCACGATTCTAAAAATGTTTGCAACTAAATGGGAAAGGTCTCTTGGGATTGATATATATGAATGTTAGAATTAGAAATAATTACCAGTCCTGGCTTGATCACAGTAGTGTGCAAAGCATGGAGAAAAAATTCAAAGAAATGATGGTTAACAAAGTAGAGGTACATATAAATGGGAAATTAGATAAATGCAGCATAGATTTGTTATCAAAGATTTTTTGATCTGTGTTATTTTGGGTGTACTTACTAACTGTTTCACTGGGGTCAAGTTCCAAATGAAACACAGATGGGGAGAAAATGTGTATGTATCCCTTTCAGCATTTCTTGGCACATGGAAAGTTCTGTATTGAGTGAGAGAAATTGTGGATGAAAAATAGAATAATTTGTTGGAAAAGGAAATAGCTGAAGGGATGAAGTGACAGGGACTTGTGCTGCAAGGAAGAGTATCAACCTGGAGGAGAGACCCTGTTATTGCAGTGGATTACATGTGTTATTCATCTTGGATGTTTTCACTAGTGACAATGTCACAAAATATAATAGTTTATAATGAAATATAGGTCACAAAATAGAGTAGGGTTCTGATGGGGTCAGAAAAATGTACAAGAGTTTTTTACATGGTATACTGCAGTGGTAGAATGGGATAAAGTGTAATAACATAAAAAGGATGAAAAATAGGAATTTCTGTATATAAGATAGGAGCTTGTAAATTTGAAAAGAGATAGATGCAAAAAGGTTTGGATATATTATGTCCTTGTAAAATGGTTGCTGACTGCCAGAGCAATGTGGCCATGAAAAGAGAAATCCTGTTTTGGGATACATCACTCTAGGCAGGTCCAAGAGGGAAAAGCAAGTATTCGGTTCATATGAGACACCAGCAATGCCTTGTGTTACATGCATTTACATTGAATTTTGATTCAATTACTGTGTAAGTCTTCATAAAGAATGCATTGCATACACCATGAATAATATTTGTAAGGTTTGCTTATTTTTATCAAACACTACAGAAGGATTTACTTGTTCCTTTTGTCCTTTGATCCTTAGTTTTATTTTAATATCCTAAAAGGATTATTTCCTTAGGCTCTAATCCTTTGTCAGAGGCTGTGCCATCACATGATTCTTAAATAGGGACTGGAATCAGAAAGTTGGTTTTAATTTTCATTTTTATGAGAGCACAAGAGGCTAACATTACTTAGAGTAGAATACTTTCCTAAGAAGGTAATTTTTGTTAGTGAAATATTAAAAATATGAAATCTTAAAAATACTAGTTTAAGTTTACTTTTAAGGGAAACTGACAATGTTGTGAGAGTTCAATCTAAGTTGTATGTCTGGTGTAACATACTTTTTGAGTGTTTCTCAGTTAGTGGTAAGTCATTGTGATAGCTCTTAGAGTGGAATGAATTTCATGTTTTGTACATTGTACAATTTTAGGTGATGTACATGCCTTAAATATAGTCCTGTATATGTTATCTATAGTGATGTGTGTGTTTTACTTTTTGAGTAATTTTCTCCTTTTCAGCTTACATAAGGTTCACTTTTTTCCTAGGCCGGTAGGTGGTTGAGCCAAAAGTAGACTTGCTTGGTTTGCTTTGAATTTAATCTAAAATAACTTGAAACTGTACATTGCCAAGAAAAATCATAATGCTATTCTGAGGCCGTAATTCTGTAGGAAGCGAAAATACACAAGGAGAAAATATACACTGCGTCACTGAATTTACTATTGAAAGCATGTTTGAAATAGTACATGAAAAAGAACCTTATTTAAGCCATAGAAGATGCCCTTTCATTTGAAATTATATAGTATTGAGCTATTCAATTTTTTAATTCTTAAGTACCTTTTAGGACTTTAAAATAACTTGAAGGTTTTGTGGGAGCAAGATGAAGAAAGGTAGTATTTTTTTTCTTTTTTTTTTTTTTATTAATCATTTTTGCTACAGCAAAATGACTTCAACATGGATGCACATTATTTCTCATTAAGGTATTGGTGCTATGCTTCATTTAGTTGTTTTCACTTAGTCATTCAGTGCATTCCATTGCAGCAATGTTGTTTTTTAACCAAATTTTTCCTGTTAATTTGGCAACAAAACATTTTCACATTCTTACAATCAACTGTGGCTTACATGTGTAGTATGCACAATTTGATTTCCCAGTTAAGGCTTGAAGCAGACCCTTATTTTAGGTAAATATTCTTTCTCCTCTTCATGGAGTCTAAATAAGTTTGTGACAGTAACCACATTTTCTGTGCTGTGCACTTACAATGAATAAATTTTAACTTGGGTTCCTTTCTCACAGTGCTATTTTTCATTCAACTGATGCATTGAACATTATGTATTCCCAATGATTTATGGTAGCCACTACTTACCAGATCTATTTTGTTTCATTAGATAATGCTGCACATTTTTAGTGACTTTTTGTAATAAACCTACAAGATTCAATTAAACCTGAAAAATAGCTTACTGTACGTGATGCTTTCAACTCAGCATTTGCTTTTAATATTATTTCATTCTTATTCTACAAAACCTTTTCCTCATATTGGTTTGAAGTCTTTAGTAGCTGAAGTAAAAAATCAATTTGTAAGGAGCGATAGAGAACTTCTACATTTAAAACCAAAAAGCATTCATTTTAATCAACATGAGTGTGCTGTTTATTTCTCATTATGTTGAGAAAATTTTATAGATATCTGTAGTCTCTTCAACTTGTTTCTCACGGAACCAGGAGACCTTTTCATTTTGTATATGGAAGATTTTGCACCGTTAATGTCATACCAAATTGGTTTATTTCATGGCAGCTAAAAGTTGTGTCTTTACAAGCACGCATTGAGGGATGACTGAAAGTTACCAATATCACTGTGGCATCTGCAGTCCCACACTGATACTGACATTAAAGCTGGCTTTGATTTGCTATACTAATGGAAGCTACTGCTTCTACTGGGCTTTCCCTTTCCATCCATACCTAGCACCTGTGACTGGGATTTCTGTGGTTGCTAGCTGGGCTCTTAAAATGGGAGATGATTTATCTGAGGGATACTGTGTGTAGTGATGAAATTTGTTAAGAAAATTAGCTTGAAAGAGTGCTCTAGAGGTGCTGGGAAGAATAGAGGAACACATTCTTTTTCATATATCCAGGGTAAGCCTTTTGAAAGAGATGAGAGATTTTTTTTAACATTATTTTAAAGAGCAACATTGCAAGAATGTAGTCAACCATTCTCAGGATCCCCTAGAAAGGAAACAAGAACTATTCTAAAACTGAAGGAAAAAAATTAGCTAATTACCAATATGCTATGTAATGTATTTATACCCTGGAAAATGCAAGTTTAGGGGTAAATCTAATCAAATGTAAGACAAGAAATCCTGGTAAATCTCAGGGGATAAGTAACTACTGAATTAAAATTCATGGTTTTCTCTGGTAAAATAAAACTAACATAATATTCTCAGATGAAGGACCTTCACTATATAATTATAGCATAAATTTATAATAACACTAACAACTGCTATTTAGGTACTTTTCTGTCTCCCGCTTAATAAAATATATTTATTGTTACTGCTCTGCCCCACCTTTTAAGTTTGGTGGACTCTTATTTAGATGTTCAGTGTCAGATGGTGTTAATAGCCATGTTATGATCCGTGAGGGGTTTGAATTGCTGCATTTGTGGGCTGCTGCTGTGGGGTGTTTTTCTAACTCAAGTCTCATACTTTCAATCTTGGCAGTCTTGAATTTAGTTTACAGTATGAAACCTCATGAACAGCTGTGGAAAATTAAACAAGTATAAATATTGACATTACGTCTTGACTTTGTCAGGCAGATAGCTGTGGCATATGTGGTGTCTGCATGTGGAGATCTTTCAGAAACCAGGGACAAGCTATAAAAATTGAACAGTTTTAAAAATCTGTTGATTTTTCCTTTGTTTTGATTTATATAAAGATCTTCTGTGAATTTTGAAATAATTAATCACAGAATATAGAATGGTTTGGTTGGAAGGAACCTTAAAAGATCATCTAGTTCCATGACCAAGGATGCCACTAGAACAGGTTGCTCAAAGTCCCATCCAGCCTGGCTTTGAACTCCTCCAGGGAGGGCACATCCAGGGACACTGGATATCTTGTCCCTAGAATGTCAAATACTTTGACAAAATGTCAAATACGTTGACATTTTGCATCTCCAGAACAGTATGAAATAAAAGAATTAGTGTGAAAACCACATTACAGTACAGAGTTGATAGTTAAGTGCTGTCGGAACTCATGTGTAGTTAGATACACCACATTTGAGATACAGGCTTTCTAATGGTTTTTTCAGAATGTTCTTCCTATTCACTCAGCTAGTTTGGCATCTGTACTTTATATTTAACTCTACTGTGACCTAACTTATGAAAAGAACGGTGACATGTTCAGAGATTGATAGAAATCTGATAAAACCTGTGAGGACTGTTGCATTTAACCCAATGCTGAACTGATATTTCATAGAATTACCAATTCCAGCTAAAGCCCATTCATAATGGGCCCAAAGGTCATTTATACACAACTCTGCACACTGATGAACTGTTTTTTTCCCCATTTTTGATTTTTTCCTCATTAAACATCTTGATGGCCTCCAGATCATTGCTGTCAGACTTTTTCACCTCATGTTTCACCTTGTTTTCTTCCAAACACTTAGGAATATGTCAAGCTGTACAGAATCTGCCCTGAGTTCAGAGAGGTCCCTACTCACACTTTCCACTTAAACTGATTGTCTGGTCTTACTGTGCATTTCTTCTCTTCTATGGGGTGGGCACTCACATGACAATCTTTCTTTTTCCATCCAGCTTAGGTTTTTGGAACAATTTGGGAATCTTGTTATATGCCATTTGAAAATCCACATTGACCAAATCAATTATGTAACAATTAGAACTGGCTCTGTCTTGCCTGTGTGTGTGCTTACATCTTCAGAGGAACTTTAATAAATTTATGGGGCAGAATTTGTCTTTCTAAAAGTAATTTTAGTACTTTTATGGGGCACAATTTGTCTTTCTAAAAGTAATGTTAGTACTTTTTTACTTTGATTACTTTCATCCTTATGTCTGCAGATTTATTTCATCTTTTTATTTCTGCCAGTTTGGCTGACACAAATATATTTTTTTCCTGGTCTGTAATTGCAGGGTTCTATGCTGTAGACCTTAGAAATAATTCAGTTTATGTTTTAAATTTTCCATTCCTTTGCTACAAAGTCGTTAAGAGTAAGAAGCTGCACACCTCTGTTAATAATTAAACTATCGCATTCTTTAACTTCTTTAGAACTGTTGGAAGGATACCATCTGTTCCTGATGACTTCTTATATCAATTTTGTGGATTTTTGATTGTCTGATCTGCTAACACTGTTGTTTGAGACAGACCAACACTGCCTCTGATGAAGAAGATACCTGATTTGTGAGTCTGCTTAAGCTTATATTTTATGAAAAACAGACTGCTTGCAAAGTACTCTATAAACAATTGTGCCCCATCTTACTAGTCATAAGTGGATTTTTTTTTTTGCCTCTTAGGACGTATACAAACTACCCCTGTGCCCATCTTACTAGCCATAAGTGGATTTTTTTTTTGCCTCTTAGGACGTATACAAACTACCCCTCTTCTCAAGATAACTTGAGAAATTTTTCAGCATTTTCACACAAGCATTTTCAAGGTTAGAGTTACTGTATCTGGAATTGTGTGCTCCAGGCATATTTCCATAACTGGATGAGTTTGGAAATTATTGCAATTTGGAAGATTTTGCTCTAGACTTCAAATGAGTGGGAACAGAGCAAAATAACTAAATGAAATTAAAATGAAGTTAAGGTGAAAGAAGGATCAAACAGAAAAGAATAATTTGGGAGAAGGTAGATATGGATGGTATCTCAGAGGAAATACCATGGATTTAGAGATTTGAGATTTCAAAAAATAGGTTACTTTGAAAATTGTGTCAGAATGGCATATATGTGCATATATGTGCTCTTTAAAAAAGGTAAAAATGTTACATTGCTGAGAAAGAGGAAGAGAAGGGAGAAGTACTTAAAGAAGACTCTGGACCTGCTGTCAGTTAAAATTTGATCTAGATAGATGGGGAAATTTGTTCCCTAGTAGAATGAATTTTACCAAGTAGAAAATTAGGTGATTTTGCATTTTTTAAAATGGCATGGTGGTTTTTTTGTGACAGAAGGTATTACCTTTGGAGCATTTTTTTCTTTTTTTTAATAGTTTTAATAATAACAACTTGTCAAAATAGTTTTGATAGTTTTGCAGCAGCAGAGAAGTGTTTCTAAAGTCCTGCGTGATTTTTAAATGCATGCAAATAACAGAATATACTGTTAAAACGGCTATAACTCATTTGTTAGAGTGGCAGTCATGATAAAAATAGAGAAGAAAGGTAATGAAAGTGAAAAAACTGAAGCTGTATTTGTACTTAAATAAAAGCTATTTGTTGATAGTAAAGGAGTGACTTTTAAGTACCAGAGTGACTTATAAGCTATTTTAATGTCTGAAACATTACACATGAAATGGTAAATATTTCTCTTATAAAAAGCAACATTTCTTCTGTCTGTTTCAAAGCCAAGATTAATTGCATAGTCTTTATCATTCATTCGTGAATTCAGCATAATGTTCTGTGGAAAGTTAAAAGCTTTTTTCTTTGTCTCTGTGACAGAAAGCAGTAACATTGTCTATTGTCACTCTTGAATTTTAATGACAATACATTTAGCTCAGTTGCAGTCCACTATGTTTTTACATATCAGAATTATAATTTCAGATTTATTTTTATTTTTTCCCACAGAATATAAATGAAGAATGATGCAATATTAATGCTTTCTATGTACAGCCTTATAAGAATCTTCTTTAAGGAGTTGCAGTAAGACAAACACTGAAAATAATTTTTCTCTGGTACAATGTGTTGAAGCAGAGGAGCTGGAATTGTCCACCTTTGTACAAGCTAAGAAAATGTTTGCTATTTTGTGAGTGGAAGCAGCTCTGGAGTGAATTGAACTTCTGAAAATGCGGCCATGGACTGGTTCCTGGCGTTGGATTATGCTCATCCTCTTTGCCTGGGGAACTTTGCTGTTCTATATTGGTGGGCACCTGGTACGAGATAGCGAGCACCCGGATCACTCCAGTCGGGAGCTGTCCAAGATCCTTGCTAAGCTGGAACGGTTAAAGCAGCAAAATGAAGACTTAAGGCGCATGGCAGAATCTCTCAGGTAGGATCTCAAAGTAATTAAAATTGCTCAGAAAATGTTTGAAATATGAAATAGCAGAATTTAAATTGCAAGGGTTGTTTGTGGGAGTTTTTGCAAAATTATATTTCACATTTAAAAGTATATATAAGTGTTTTAATCTGTGCTATAAGTAGATGAAAACATTGCAAAACCTTTAAATAAATGATGTACATTTAGTTCTGGTCTAATGTAATCATTACTTAAGAGTCATTTAATGGTGTGGAAGTGTTACTGTCACGGTAACAGAGTTCTGTAGGTGATTCACCCCTCAATGCCAACTTCAAACAAGTGCAATTATTATGACATTCATACAAATTAGAACATCTAGTTCTTTATACTTCTGCATGCAAGAATTGGAAGAGCTCATTTTAAAATTGCTGAAAACATTTGTACAGCTTGTTGAAGATAAATGCTGACTTGCTGAAGATGATCTGCAATAGATTGCTGCATTATACAAATTCTTTTATCTAAGTTTTCTTCATTGCCTTGCTGCTAAACTTGTAGAAACACTTGTAAAACAGTAGGATCATCTCCTTTTTTACAATGGCACAGTCATTGAAATATAGCCCATTCAAATTACACAGTGGCTAGAAGAAAGTATATGATTTTACTGGTGGCAGAGTGCTGTTTACTGCTCAAGATGGAGGCAGGAGATGCTAAGTAGAGGCTAAACTAAATTTTAGGCAGTCATGATTTTTCTAAATACCTTTCAATATTTCACTAACCTTTAGTGGAAGATCTATATTCAGATAAATATTACATTTTTGGTGGGCAAGGTTTAAGTAATAGCTTATGCTGTTGATAATTTTCCATGCTTTATGAAAAGAAAAACCTCAGTTTATATCTACTTTAAACATGCTACAGTATTTCCACATTCCTTCTCTATGATTCCATTAAAGGTGTCAGGATGCAGGAATTAGATGCAAAACTGTGTTCACTGGCCTCCATTCAGCTTCTTTGGAAATATGTTGTTTAACAATATTTCTGAGAATTTCCTCAGAGTGTTTGTATATCATAACCACAGGAGAATCTGGAATTCTGGCATGAGAAAGCCTAAATGACTTTAAATACCATTTGAACAGACACTCATGTCCAGGTTCAGTAGTCAGTGCTCTCCAGGAGTGAGCCAGCTTGCGACTGGAAGATTTCAGGCACGTTTTTTTGCTGGAAGTCATGAGACTAGTGAAATACTGGACTTTGAGGGAAATGATGCATGACAATATAGGGCCTTTTCATTATTTTTACTGTGCCGAGTCCTTGGTAGTGTTTACATAGAAACATCACAAATAGGTTTTAGAAATATCCTGGTCAACCTGTGTTATTAAAGTATTATATTATAATGTGGTACAGAATTTCAGTATCTCATTTCTTTGTTTGCCAGGCAGAATAAGCTGTGTTGAAAATAGCTGTTAGCTTTAAAACTGTCCCATTTATAGTTTTGTAGCAGTGTGTCTGTTTAAAATGAAGCATTAACCAGCAGTCCATGGATTGAGTTCTGTGTCCTGGAAGAGATCACTGCTGCTGTGAGCATACATTATAGAAACAAAACACCTCTTAACTTCAGAGATCCAATTAGACAGAAAATATTACTATTGTTCCAGTTTACATCTTAACATAAAGATGTAATTTATTTTAGGCTTTACTGATCAAAGACGGAAAGACTGGAACTATTATTTGAATATGATTTAATTGCTAGAATATTTTGTGTTGTACTGGAAACTCCAATTACTGATAGTGTCAGTTAAATCTGAGTAGTAAGACAACACTCTACATCAACAGAGCTCATAACAGGCATGAGGTAAAAACTTGGTTTTGCTGCCCTTTTCCACTAAGATTTTGTATCTAGAGAACAAAACAGAACACTAAAAATTTTGTGGTTAAGCCAGAGAATATATTATGGTATGCAACAGGGCTAAGATAATTCCTGAAATTAGGAATATTCAAAATAAGATCTTAAAGTTACTTGTGGAGGAGTTTATACAAGATGAAAGTGTCTACCTGTAAAATTGGAACAATAGACAAACATCTGCTTAACTATACTAGTGAAAGTATTTTGGTACTATTAGATAAAACTTTTGCCTGGTAAAAAGCTCCAAGTTAACAGAATTTAACTTGGTGGGCAAAGAAGTTTTGTGGATGTTAGAAAATTATCATAGTGAATAGTTGTGCTATTAATAATAGCTAGCTAGGGCAGGCAGAAAGGGGCAAAAGGCAGGTGTGGTTACAAGAATTAGTAGTTTAATAAAAGTGTAAGTTGTTTTTCAGTTTCCATTTTGAAGTTATAGAAAATTGATATTTCATCTTTAATTGTTAATTGAAATGGTAGAATGCATTTCAGTACATTTCAATTGCCTGGACTGGACTTTCCCATTATAATGGGTTCCTGAGACTCTTCAGACTTCCTTATCACCTGACAAAAGCGTCGGTCTTCTGGGATGGTTGAAAACAGGAGCCGGACTGTGCTTGTTTGAATCTCTCTATGAATGCCAACATGCAATGACAAGAAGTGATCTTTCCACCCTGAGATTTGAATCCTCCTTTGCTGCCAGTATGTAGCAGCCCCTCATCCCCAAAGACAACAACAAAAAAGAAAACCAAAGATCTACCCTATGAAACATACCTTGTGTGCATGCAACGCCAACCATTCAAACTTGACAAAGATCATATCTGTGAAAAGGTTTTATAAAATCTTTCTTAACCCTTTTTTCCTCTATGATATTGATTTTGTAATTTTCTCCTGCTTGCTTCTTTTCACACAAGATGTGTAAGGAATAGAATTAGAGTTGTAGGGCAGGGGTAGGTACTTGTTTGGGTTATTCTGGTTCCCACCCACTGCAACTGTTTTTATGTTTGATTTCAAAAAATATGTTCTTACAAATTTATGATTTTTAAAATATTTCTAATTTATTACCCATATTGGTTAAGAGTAGCTCATATTTTTGCAAGGATTTTTGGTGAGAATATTTTTTGATACTTATTTTCTAAGATGTACTTTTGCAAGAGTGCAAGTTGAAACAGTCACATCTTTTTGTAAATGGCCTGAAATAAAAAAAAAAAATTCCTTTAGGAACTGAGTACACTTTTGTGGTGCACTTCTGATTACTTGAAATTGGATCAGGTACCACATAGTTTTTGTGGTATATTTAAAGTATATTTATATTTAAGTATAGTAACTTCTCACCTAATATACCACATAGTTTATGTGGTATATTAGGTGAGAAGTTACTATACTTTTGCCTGTATGATGCTTTGTAAAAACCTTGCTTGTGGGCTAGAAAGAGGCACAGATGTATGTTAATGAAGCAGAAGATAAATGGAATTAAAGGTGTTTTGTAGTGTCTGAGTTTTAGAAATTATGTGCACAAATATTGTAGTGCAGTGAGTTGGGAGAGTTACCATAGTCTGTATAGGATTATAAACAATACTGTGTGAGCAGATCTGGATTGATTTTAGAAGCATTCTAGATTTCATGAGTGTAAAATAATAATAAATCTGAGTTTTTTATAGGTTGTTTTTTCACTATTCTATATCCAGTAGACCTGGAAGGACACTTATTACAGGTGTAGTAGGTGTGACTGCAAAACTGGAAATCTTTACTATAATTTTTGTAGTTATTTAAGGGAAACTTGAGAGGAAGTAATAATCAAATCAAAGTATTACATAATGTTGTTTCCTAAAACCAGCAGTTTTACCTAAAAGTTGTGCTTACTATTAGGATTATGATATGACTTCTAAAGACTGTCCCTGTTGCATATGGATGATACAAGGCTTTTAGGAATAGGAGAGCTGAAAATTACACCTTTTGTAATGTCCCATTTTCTTGGATGGAAACTGTGAAGCTGTGTATGCCTTCATCCTAGGCTTTCTTTATTTTTGCAATACATGAATGCTTCATAGTATTCATGTGCTTCTTTATGTATTACTGGGTGGTAGTCAAATGTTTTATTTTAGGGTATTTTGATTGAAGATAAACCTGGCAGTTTAGGAACCAGTAATTTCAGAGTTCTCCTTAGGAAAATAGAGAATCTTGTTAAATGGATTCATACTGTGTTCATATTATGACTACATCACATTTGGACTATATTTGCTTCCTAGAGTCTTTTAAATATTGCATTTTGTAGAGCGTGCAATTATTTTGATAAATATGGTAACCTGTTTCTTACTCTGAATTAAAAGCGTGTGTTATAAAGCAGAACAGAGGTGGAAAAGGGCAAAATGTCATCAAACACATAAAACCAAACACCTACACATTATTCTTACAGTTCTGAGTGTAGCTTCAGAAAGAAGAGATCAGATTTAATTTTGAAAGAGCACTAGAGGTGCTTTAATGTAGCTGGTGGAGAATCCAAACTCAAGATCAATTAATCATAAGCAACTCTCTTAAAGTAGTTCTGTCAATTACTCTGGGCAGTTTTTGGGTCTTTTAAACCTGTAGAAAACAATAAAGAGGCTTGGATAGAAGAATAGTTTTGGGTTGATAAAAATTTAAATATTAAAGTACAGTTTCCTACTGTATGTATTTAAAATAGCTCAAGTTTGAAGCTGAGGGTATTGCACAGGTCACTGTGGGAAAAATGAAGATAATTGAACTAAATGGTGGCTACCTCTGCTCTTTTTACTGGTTTTTTGTGCAATTCTGAGTTAAGAGAAGGAAGACATGCAGTGGATATAAATCAGTGCTGATCAGGGCTGTGCTGATCTAAATTGATAAGGGATATGCTTGCCTTTTATTTGCAGATAACACTGACTCTTTTCTTTCAGTTTTATTTACTGAGGAAGTTTTATGTAAGGAGGATGAAGTGACAGCCTGTATTCTTTTTCTTTGTGTGTGCTAGTGATCATTAATAATTGAACATGATTTTCTTCTTGGGGAAAAGAAAAAAGTGAGAGGGAAAAAGGCAATCATAATGTGGCTTTAGTCAGTTATAAACCTTCCAGCTCCTTACAAAGAACTTGGACATAAATGAAAGAATGAGAAAGTATTTGAGTATGAACTTGTGAAATCTTACATTTTTCCTTTTGCTGATAAATTATTGTAACCTTTTAGATATCTTGGAAATAGGAAAAGGTTAGAATGGTTTTTATAATTTATGGGTTTTTAAAAACTATTTTTACAATTATTTTACACAGTATGGCAGTTCTTCTAGCTAAATTGAATGTCACTATGATTAATTTTTAAGGGGTTCTTTTTGCCTTCAGAGATCCAGACTAGACATCCATTGCTTTGTCATTGCCCCTTTGTCATTGCACCTGAAGGTGATGAGAAAGTGGCCTCAGTCATATGGATTATGTACACAGAATTATTTTTTTTTAAATCTGGATTACTAACAAGGGACAAGGCAGAAACAGCTTATCCCTGCAACATAAGATTTTTGATGTTTAAAGTTATCCAGTAATATCTTTATTTGATGAGTTGATTATGGGAAAGATAATTTATATTTGCTATCAGATGGTAGGAAGCAGCATGCAAACATCACACCTTGTAACTATTGAGAATTGAAATAGACTTCATTTATTAGCTTGATTGACCATTTAAGTGGCTTATAGTGGTGTTTATTTTGTGTTCATAACTTAATTACAGTCTTATCGTAGTAATAAGTGAAGGATAGTCTGTACTAGATGCTTTCTGATGTGTTTTTTTATTACTGCTTAGAATCATCTTAGTTTAGATGAACTTACTTTAAACTCACTTCTCATATTTTAAGGAGTAAAATAGTTGTCAGGACTTTGGTAAGAATCTTTTTTCCCATAAGAATTTCTGTTTCTCAATATGCATTCTTATTCATGAATATGCATAATTAGTAGGATATTCAGCACTAGAAGTGCAGAATACAGAATACCTGCATACAGGATGCCATGAGACTAGACAAGGATTTTAATTCAAACACTTTTCCCTCAAATGTTATATCTAGCTCAGCTGAAGTATTTGTAGAGGGTAATAACTGCCAAGCTGTGCTGGTTGCAGAGAAGAATATTTTCCTTAATTTTGGGACTGGATGAAAGTGAGGAAGACAGCAATTCCAAATCTGATGAGGTAACAGATGTAGAGATACAACTGAAAAAAAAGAATAAGCTATCTTAGTTGCATCCTAAAAAGATGTGATTTTTGGAAGTCTAAGCAACTAGCTTAGAGAATATCCCCCATCCCAGCTCTTTTATCTAACAGTCTAAGTATAATAAAAATTTTTATTGCAGTGTGCCAAAGTAAGATGAATGTTAAATGGCAAAATGGTACTTTTCTTTTTAGGATCTTAATTATATCAAATTATCAACATTACTGTGCCTCTTTCATATCATCCACAACCATCCTTCTGTAGGATTCTCTAATTGCTACTTTAGAGACTTATGCTAAGAGGATGTGTGCAGTGTCTCAAGACTTCTTATGGTAATGATTTTCTATCTTTTCACCCTATTGTTCTTCACAGACTTACCTTTAGGGTATGTGACTTGTATGGGATAAACTGTTCATTTTTTTTCTGGTAATTTTGTGGTTAGTTGTTACTTCACAATTCCAATTGTGGTACCAAGCTGGCAGATCACAAACACATTTCCATCTGGTGGTTTGAAATTAGTGTAGGAATGTAAATGTTTTTCAGTATAGTTTTTAAAGGCTAGTTTGTATTGTCTTGTACATGGCAATCCAATCCTCTATCTCAGTAGGATATAACACATTTGTTGCAGAAACAAATATACAAATTGATTGTTGAAACTGATTATATTTAGGGAGTGCTCATGTTTAAGATTAGGATATTTTACACAATTCTGACATGCTTGTTCCATCAGTGCATGAAAAAGCAGATGTATGAACAGTTAATGATAATTCCCTTTTGTTTACCATTGTAGTTTTAGAACACACATATTTTTTTCAGTAATTTAATTATCCCCAGTAGGATAGAGATAGGATAGCTTTAGTAGGAAGCTTTAAGACTGCAGAATTTTTTTACTGTATTTCTGTCAGGCTATGTAGCTTCTTCCTCCACCTCTCCTGCTCCCTTCTGAAAAAAGATGCTTAAATGCTTTGCTTCATGTGATGCATCTTTCTGATGCCCACATCAGGTATTTGTTCTCTTCAGCTGTTCTGGGGAAAATGAACTTTTCATCAGTCCCTGAAATTTTATCGGCATTTAGTTATCCAGACTTGAGAGACATTAAAGAAATAGCATCTCAGTGGGATATTTAGAATGCTTTCATTTCTTTTTTACAGGGAAGGTGCTCCTTCAAACCACTGTTCTCTCTATGCCAGAGGCGTCTTTTGTCTGTCAAGGACTCTTCCTGTGTATGGTGCTGTGAAACTCTGTGTGTTTGTGTGCGGAGAGAATATCTGTTTCTTTTTATGCTCGTATTCCTTTATGAAGGAAGAATCTTCATGTTCTGCAAGAATTCTGTATTCGTTGCAGTTCTAAAAACTTCCCATTGCACGTCTGCTTGCTCTTTTTCTTTCTGGGGTCAGCTCTTACAAAACCTTATAAAATGTGGAATAATTTTTAACCAGAAGGGTAATTTCTCTTGAAATGAAAAAGGTTTTTATTTTCCCTGCATTAAATTTATAAGGCAAGAAGAAGTTAGCATCTAATTTTTAAACGTTAATAATTTTGCTTTATTAATATATGAATTCAAGTAGAGATGATGAACAAACTGAGTAATGCCCTCAGGGCAGATTTATGGCTCATAGATTTCAGGATATGTGTTTCCATACTTCTCCTGTGCTCACATATCAGAAATTTAACAGATGGATGTTACAATTGCTGGTGGTTTTTTAGGTGATCTACACTTTAGAATACTAGAGTTGTCATAAAATAATCATGATAATGGTACATTTAAGAAGGTTGGATCTTTTTCTGAGTCCAGGCAATACACTGAAATGATCCTGTGTGGATGTGTAGGAAGACTTAACTGGAGATCAAGTGCTGGAGGCCGGGTTCTCCTAGAAGCTGTGGCCAGGGTTCAAGAGCAGAATGGCTTTGTTTGGGTTAACAGTTAAATTGCCATATTATTTTCACAAGCAGAGCCTTGGATTGTTCTTGTTGGTGAGTGGAAGTCTTGTAAAAAACACAGTTTAGGATCAGGCTGCATTTCCTTGCAGCTGTGTTGTGCACTGTTTTTCTCCTATGGGATTGTGCTTTTAAAATCTTCTTTATGTTAATATGTTTAATTTCTTCTGGTTTTAAGGAAATTGATGAAAGTTTATCAGTAAAACAGTATGAAATAAAAATGAGTGGAGAGCTGAATTGTTAATGCAAATAATTTATCAAATAATTCTATTTATAAATAATGCAATTTCTTTATTTTCTGTATCCTAGGATACCAGATGGTCCCATTGATCAGGGACCAGCTGCAGGAAAGGTACATGCTTTAGAGGAGCAACTTCTAAAGGCCAAAGAACAGATAGAAAACTATAAGAAGCAGACAGGAGATGGTTGGTAGATAATTTTTCTTTTAATTCTAAAACAAGTTTTGATGTTTTGATATTTCATATCACAGATGTATTGGCTTCTTAACAAGTAATTCAGCTGCAAGTACTGATGCTTTTATGCCTTTTTTTTTTTTTTATTTTAATAGTAGAAGGCCTTGGAAAAGACCACGAAATACTGAGAAGGAGGATTGAAAATGGGGCTAAGGAACTTTGGTTTTTCCTCCAGAGTGAACTGAAGAAGTTAAAAAATCTAGAAGGAAGTGAGCTGCAAACACGCATTGATGAATTTCTGTCTGATTTGGGTCATCAGGAAAGGTACTTCCATTCGTTGGTTCTGACCTTTAATTTAACTGTCACTGTGTTGTTCAAAGACGTGTGGCAATTATATTTTTCATTGTTGTCAATCATCAGGCCTCTTTATTGTTGTAGTGCCTTTTGTATTATATTAAAATGTTCTGTATGAGTTTTGTTTGTGCTGAACAAAATTAATCCAGGAACTGTTAAAAATTCAGTGACATCTGTCTTTAAGCATATTATAACTCTGCTCCCAACAGGATTGCAATGACAGTTTGTGTCTCATCAGTAAACAGTTACACAAAAATAGTTGAATTAACTAAATACAATACCTTAAATCAATGCCCTGAAAAAAGCTGTGATCTCTATATGTGAACATCTGTAATAAAGCAAGAGCCTTTGAAAATAATAATATAGTAAAGGGAAAAAAATCGTAAGAATTTTAAATTCCTTCGAAATAATTCAAACATTATTTAAAACAGAAAGACAATATGAATTTGATTATTAATATGGGCAAATAGTATAGTCCATTAAATTTTGTAATTTAATATTCCACAATTCCAAAATCCATTTTGTCACAGATTGATTGAGTTGAAAGCGAGAAGGGACTATTCAATTATTGAGAGTTATTATTTATATAGAAGACATGATTAAATTTCATCCAATTAGTTCTCTGCCAAGTGCAGTTTTATATATTTGACTGAAATAAAAGTAGTGCTTGGCTAAAACGGAATTTTCCAAAAGACTTGAGATCTTCACTTGAACAGTGAATTGGCAGAAAAGTGTCACTTTCCTGTGCAGTTTGTTTCAATAGTTATCTCCTCTCAGAAATATTTATTTTCCACAGAAGTTATTTCCATCTGGTCTTCTTGAACTTTAGGTCATGGATTCTTATGTACCTTTTAAACTATCTCTGCTAAAACTGGAGTAAGTAGTCTAATACCAGACTTTGTTACATTTGCCATGGTAACAGGATCACTTATGTGCATGTAATTGCTCTGTTTGTAAAGCCAGAATGAGGCAGTCACCGCAGTGAAACCTTGAATAATGTTGTGTGTGTTTGGTGCCAGAAGGTTTTCATGTTGCTGCTTCCCAGGATGAGTCCTTTTCCTTAGTCCTTTCCATTGTACACCAATGATAATTAATTCATTAAGTCTTAATTTTCCAGTTTCTGCATTTCTGACACCCTTATGTTCACATGTCACTATACTTCAGGATGAGGTGAAACCCGTTCGAGAGGTGCATAAACTCCTTTGCGTGGAGTTATGAAACTGCCCTGTAGACCTCTGGAAGTTATGAGATGAATCTCACTGTGGTACCAAAAGAAGTTTGTGTATGATGCAAGCAATCACAACTGCTCCTTTTTTTCCTTCTAAGAATTTTGGTGTTGTACAAGTATTCTTTCAGTTGTCAAGATGGTTATTAAATATAGAATAATCTGAAGTGTATTTAGTCTTTGTAATAAGCTGTGTAGACCTTCCTATCTGGTGACGTCCTCAAAGAAGAATAAAGCAATTTAAGCTAAAATCAAACAGGCATAAACTAGTTCTTATTAAACCAAATCTAGACAATCTGTTTATACAGTGTAGAAATTCAAAGGAATTGCATTAGAAAAAGAACAGATAAAAAATGTTTCTAAGATATTCAGCCTGTGTTCCTGGTGCATTTGCAATGTTGCCTTCAAGCAGTAGAATTATCTTGTGTTGCAGAATGCACAATGTGATTGCTTCTAGTCCTGAGGAAGTTTTTTCCTGCACCTTTGAGGTCAAGCTGTCTCCTTCTTTCCCTTTAATCTTTCAGTCTTGTTGTGTGAATTGCAGGAAAATTCCCAGTTTGTGTGCACATCCTTTGGCATGTGATGCATTGCTGTCTCTGGGGTGTTCTTTGCCCTTCCAATGCACAGTACCTCCCCAGGGAAGGAGCAGTCTCATCTTCCCTCCCCACTGTCCATCTGCTGACTTCTCTGAAAGGAACAGAGCATAAGTTTGGAATGAGCAAATTAGATGTTTGTCATTCACTTTGAGAAGCACAGGTTTTTGCTTTGTTTTTGGTTTTTTTTTTTTTTTTTTTTTTTTTTTTTTTTTTTTTTTTTTTTTTGTTTTGTTTTGTTTTGTTTTTTGGGTTTTTTTTTGTTGAGCGGGGTTGTTTGTTTGTTTTAGGGTTTTGTTTGTTTGGGTTTTTTATTGTTTGTTTTTTACTTACTGCCTGTTTTGTTTGTTGGTTTGGTTTGGTCTTTTAAGTACATGTGCACTTTTGAATTTAAGTACATGTGAATTTTAAGTACATGTGCACATGTGAATTTTTTTTAAAGGAATTAAGCCTGTTGCCAAATGGTCTTTTGTTTACAGTGCTGTCTTAAAAAGTTATATTTTAGATAAATGGAACACTGCAAGTGCAGCTGGTATTACTTACTTTTATAGATATACACACACATAAATACATATAAAGGTATCTCAGAATTTTTAATATATATTATAATCTACTGTTTGGATTAGAAAGATTAGTGCTAATTATAAGTACTTCAAGGAGTTTTTCATGCTGTCCTTATGTGGGAAAACAAAGAGGTGGGTATCAAATGGTGAGACAGCTATGTAAGGAAAGAGGCTCATACTTATTTTGTTTTGTTTGTGAGGAAAGCCTTCTATTGTCACAGATTAAGACTTGCTTTCTAAGAGATGATAAACTTTAGTTTCTGTGGTTCTGGACAAGTAGCATTAGAGTTCTTTGTTAATTTTGGTGATGTTAAGCAAATGGTTTACTACTTACATGAGAAGCTTTTTGTTGGATGCCTTAATCACTGTTTGTTGGCTATGCCCTAGGAGCTCTGTGGATTTTCTCTATGGCAGTGCTGGTCTCACCTATGTTTTTGCCAAGTATTTCAGTACTGGGTCTGTTTGAGAAACAGTGTTGCCCAACACTAGATTTTCCTTGAGAATTACATAATTGTATTCTCGTAGTTGCTATAGGGAAGAGGGTTGTTGAGAGTAAATTCATCTAAACATTGGAAAGACTGTTTGATATGGAGTTATTAAAACAGAGCAAATTAGTCCTCTAGTTGTCATGGTTGTTTCCTGTGTTGACAAAAGTTGTTTGCAAGATGGCTGTTACTGAGTTAGTTTCTTTCCTTCTCCCGGGGAGTAGCTGTCATCAGGGATTTTGTGGTAACTGGCCAACATTTGATGCACAGTGTTTGGACAAATTTTCACATTATTTCCTTTGAATTACACATTTCCCTTTGAGTTTTTATTTGTTGATGTAAAATTTCAGGAGGTTTAAATTTTTTCATATGATTGGAATAAATGTCTAGACTGATTGTTAAAAATGCCCACCCTTCCCCCTTTATTTTGGCAATCAAATACAGATTAAACACAGCAAGATTTTTTCTTCCATTCTGCTTTCCAGGAAAAAATGCTTTTAAGTCCAGCTCCAAGATTTATTTTATGATATGAAGCAACAACAGCAATGAGTTGATGTTGCTGGTTAGTAGCCCAGTGAAAGACCAAGTTTTATGCAGTAAATATCTGCATTGCCACTGTGTGAAGTTTCCTGCCATTCCACCACCTGCAATAGCCTCTAATAACCCTGTGCAGGCTCATCCTTTGTCTGCACTGAGCTATCTTGGGCTCATGGATCACCTCTCCCTGTGCTTTTAACTCTTGGCACAGAGCATGACCCAGGTCTCTGGTATTTGTGTCTCTTCTAAATCTGTATTAATAAGTTATCACAGTGATCTGTCACACTCAAAAAACCTGAGCAGATGTAGCTAGAAAATGCACATTTCTGAGCAGTAACAATCAAAGAAAAAAGGGCTCTGTGACTGTGTCTTAAAATAGCATTACCTTCTAATAATTTCTGTGTGATAACACCTGTGAATTTTTCACTTCCTGGTTTACTTCAGGGTTTTATATTTTTTTAAAGAAGATTATGGATACTGTCTGAAAACTCTTTCATGAATTCGTAACATTTCCTGCAAATCATTTGATACTTTTTATGGTTTCTACTGAGCAAAGCTGCCTTTAGTTAATGTGGTGAGTCATTGAGGCTGTGTAAGGACACTCATTTCTCTTACCTCAAAAACTAAGCTACTGCCTTTTCTTTGTTGTGGTCACCATAGCCAGTAATATAAAAAATAAAATTTGGGCAACACTTTTTTTCTGTAGAAATAGGAAAAATTACTTAAGAGCTGACAAAATTTTTTTAATTGTTGTTTTTCAATTGGTAAACTTTGTATTTTCAGGTTTTTTTTCAATATTTAACAGAAATATATTTCAATTAAATAGGGAGAGTAAACTGATTACTTGTATCACAGGTACTGAAAAGACTTGTTTAAGGCTAATGAAAGAGCATTTGAAAATGGTTTAAAATTGGCTATGTGGTTGCACAGCTGCTTTTAATGAAAGAGGATTTAAAAAAATATTTAATGTTTAAACTTAACTTTGTATTTTTCCTTTAAACACCCAACATTGTTACATCCTGATTGGGAGGAAAAACATATTTAAGCTCCCAAGAAAATGCATTGGTTTCTTTTTCTAGTATGCCTACTAGCCTATGTGTTTTTTATAAACAGGGAAAGAGGAACAAACCCTTTATCTGTTCAGTAATCTGTATATAATGCATTGTATTAGAACTCGTCCATCATTAGTTCTGTTCTAATTCTCTTTAAACTGTGTGTGCATGATACTGTATTATGTGTCTTTAATAGTTACTGATTTAAAGCTAGTTACCCGGTGGTGCTTTAAATGAATTTTTATGCAAAGCCACAATAGGGTGTTTCAAGCTCAATTACCTTGTAAAAGAAAATGGAGTCTATATAGTTTCAGATTAGAATGTAGATAAGGTTCTTCCAGTTGATTGACAGAAGGTGAGGATTACTGCTGCTGAATAATTTGGGTAAAATATTTAATACAACAATAGTAGATGCTATAGTCAGTGTCTCTGTTACCCTGTCTAGAAGCATGGGGATAAAGACCAGAATGAGTGTATGAGAATAAAATTGCAAATCCATAAATCCAGTTATTAAATTAGCAAGAAAAGTTTTTCTGATAACTCTGGTGATAAATCAAATTAAGGCAGCTCTATCTTTATCTCAATGTTTACTGCTTCAATACTGTGTCATTGAAGTAATTTCCTTAGTAGGGATATGCAGCCTGCTCCTCTCAGTTATGGATAAGGGGTAGCCTTGGCTAATTGGATTTGTGCTTCCAGTGCTAACAAGTACTGCCAGCAGCTTGACAAGACCACTTCAAATGTTGTTATGAAAGGTGTTTTTCTTACCCTCACACCATTTTTTGGTCACCTCCCAAATTTCTCTGCCTTTGTTGTGTTGCTTCTTTTTCTAGTGCTCAAACTTTCGGTTTATCAAGAATTTCAGGCAATAAAAGCAGCATCTGAGGTTTAGATGAAAGTATTAAGAAAACTGGTTCAAACTTATAACTTTAGCACTGTTATGGAGAAATGTTTAGCAATATTAAATATTCTCAGTCTATGAAACCAACTCTGAAATTACTGGTTCTGAGTTGGGCCATCTTTTACTTCTAGAATAACCATTAACATTTCTAGAAACACTTTGCATAATTTATCTCTAGTTTTCTATTTCTTTCCAAAAGCCACAGAGATTTAAAAAAAAATCTTTTCCAAGGTGGCACTGTTTGGACAAAATCAGTAATTTTGACTTATCTGCAAATTTTAACAAGTGTCATATAACATTTTTATTTTCATGATGATAAGTTCTTTATTCTCTTATTTAGCCAATGAAATGTTATAACCCTAAGAAGAGAAGCTCTAATGTATTAGGTAATCTCAATTTAGTATTTGATAGTTCCTCAAAATTCATGTTTTGTAGTATGGACTTGAATGGCCATGAGTCTGTTTAGAATTTTTAATTTTTAATTGCTAATGGGTGTGGAACATTTGTTAGATGAAGGATGCAGTCAGTCTGTCTTGGCTGCTGTTTCAATTGTGCAGTAGGAGGTGGGATGAAGAAACTGATTTTGAAGCTGCAGTAGAAATATCTCTTTCATTTGGCTTTGACTTAATTTATTGCTCCAACTTAGTAATGTTAAGATTGTTTTCCGTTGTTGTTTATAGGTCAATAATGACCGACTTGTACTACCTCAGTCAAACAGATGGAGCTGGAGATTGGCGAGAAAAAGAGGCCAAAGATCTAACAGATTTGGTACAGAGAAGAATAACTTATTTGCAGGTAAGAGGATAGAGCTTTTGAATCAAGATAAACATTTTTTTCTTCTTATATACATAGCCAAAACCTTGCAATAGAATAATTACAGCACAGTTTGAAATGAATGTTGGTATATGAATGAATGATGTAGAAAATAAATTATTACATTTGTTTCAAACATTATTTTTTATGTATATGGAAGGTATATTCCAAGACAATCATTGGGGTTTGTATTTTTGTTGTTGGTCATTTTGGTTTATTTGTTTCTTTGTGGGGGTTTTTTTGGCTTCATGTTTTTTACTGGGCTATACTTGCCTGTTTGAATTCTTCACTTTATTGTAAAAGATAATTGTCTGGTTGATTTTTTAAATTCTGTTCTTTAGAGTATCCAAATTCATTAATATGTTTGCATGGTTTTAAAAACAAAATTTAAAAGTCCTTGTATCAAACTTCTTAACTAGCAGCCCATTTTTGAAAACATAAGGAAGCAAAATTGAAGTGCTTTTGTAGTGTTGTGTTGTTTGGTCCTAGATTGTTTCAACAGATGTTTGAGACTTCTCTAGATACGCATATTTTTGAGTTGATAAGACCTTTTTAATATATGTTCTTGTGTGTGTGTGTATAAAATCTAAGTAAAACTTGATCTGAAGGTGTTGGGACTTTTTCTCATGACTGAATGCATGCAGCTATTTATGTAGTGATCAAAAAATATTTAATGTAGCCTATTTTATTCCAACTTGGTTTATTTTTTATGGCATGTGTCCAGCTGTTTTGTATGGTCACTCCTAATGCCTGATCTTTTCTCTTGTGTAAATAGTTGAATTTGTTTCAGATTTTCATTGCTTCACAGTTCAGCTGTTGGAACCCTCTCTGTGACCAAGCTATGTATTTGTTGCTAGTTAAATAAAAAAAGACACCCTTCTGAGGAAAACACATCTCTAAATTGTGCAGGAGTCATCACTTTATTGTGCTTCTTCAACTCCTTTCTGAGAACTGTTCCTTATTTTTTCATTTTGATACCACTGTTTGGCAATAGTATACTGTAACTGCTTTTCATGCTGATAGATGTAGCCTTTCTTTACCTTTCCCTTGTCTTTCACTATCCATTTGTTATCCTATTCGGTAATACAGCTGTGCAAGATCACAAAGTTATTTGCCTTAACAAATATACACCAATGTAAAGCAGTTGAGTGACTCAAAATTACACACATTTATATACCTCTATTAATAATAAAACTGTATTAAAAATAAAATAAATTCAACAACCCTTGCCCCTCAAGTCGGTGCCAAAAAGAATTATATGGGACATATTTGTAATTGTTTTTTAGTTAAGTATGAAAGTATTGCATAGCTTTTTTCTGGTACATGTTGAACATTGACAGCTGTATTATTTTGGGACATCTCCCTGGGAAGTCATTTAGCTGAATGATTGTGAATAGTGATGACAGCTACTTCATTTGGATGACATTACCATAAATTTGTTTTAATGAAGCTACATGTAACTAGTTTCCTATAGTTGGAGCAACATTTAAAAAGCTAGGACTTTATATTTAACAAAAGGCCTTATTTTCGGAGATGTTTTTTATCAAACAGATGAAGAAAATGTGCAAGAGAAGTCAGATAAGAGCACCTGTAGTGCTGTAATCAAGTGAATAACTGATTATGAAGGCAGCAGTTTTCTGTCCCTTCTCTTTTGTGCCTATTTTTGTTCTGTTTATTTTAGGAAGTTTGTGATTCAGCATTCAGTCTTGCAATGGCAGAATATTTTTGCCTCTGATTTAAAAAGAAACTAAAACTTTTTGTTCAGCTTTGAAGGTTAAAAATACAATCAGGTGAGAAGGGTTACTAAGTACTCAACAACAGATCAATTATATTAGTCATAGTTTGCCATACTCAAGTCATATTCTGCCATACTATTTAGCTGGGGCTTTGTATGTATGCAAAGAAAAGAAAGTTGGTCACAAGTTGGTCACAAGCCTTTTTTCTGAGCTTTCTGGACTTTTGGTGGTTTAATGTGTCACTTAGATTTTTCTGTGTTAAAGTGTATTAAATCCCCTCCCTCACATTAAAATTACTGTTTCATATTCCTAATAAAAGTCCTCATGCTAAAATGACAACAACAATTAAAAAGGCTTTGTGCACTTTGCATACATGCAAGGCGATGCACCCCATACAACTGTAATCAATGAAATCAAAAGTATATTATACGGTTTAGTATAATAACCACCTCAGGAAGTGTGGTTACTGCTGAGATCTGTGTCAGGTTTTCTCTAGGACTGAGGAACACAGTGTGTTCAATCCATCTGCATGCTGGGATGTTTCACTTCAGCTGAAACTTGTGTGTCACAGGAGGGTAGGTGCAAACTAGAGGAATTTATATTAGAGGAAGGTTTGAGAGCTCTGGTTCTCAAATCAAATACCTACTATTTTTGACTAGGGAAAGAAGAATGTTTTCTTCCAGCAGCTGGAAGAAACTTCGGGTGGTTTGTTTGGTTTTTTTGTTTCTTTGTGTGGATTTTTTTCTGCCCCCAAAGTCTTGAGAGGAGCTGGTATGAAAAGGAAGGATTACAAATAGCATCACAAAGGAAGGGGAATAGAAGATAGTATGAACTACATTTCTGATAACTAGGATGAGAAACACCAATTTTTCACATATTTCTCAAAAAAATGGGGTTTTACAAAGATTTTGGGTGGGACTCTCTTCTCCAGCAGACTGTGTAGCATCAAAGAATAAAATATCTGTTGAAAATATAAAAAAAGAACAAATTTGTTAATGAGCATCATACTGTGTTTATGAGGTTACTCAGTAAATGGTAGCAGAGTGCTTTCCCACTCCACTCTAATCTGTTGTGATTCATTGGATTAAGTACATTTCTCTGAACTGTGTTAACTTCATTAACAACACAGCAGTTTCTCATGCAGTATAATGTATGTTAAGGAGCAGGGTTTCCTTTTGCCAGTTTGCCATTGCCATTTTGATGGCTGACTACACACTTGAAAGTACTGGAAGAAGGTGAGGCATTGAGGCAGCACTTGGGACATCATTCCCACCTGAGCCTGCTTTCTGTGAATAGGCCAACCAAGAGCCATGGAAGAAGAATACATTGGAAATCCTGAATTTTGTGAGAGCAACAGTGTATGCCCATGTTCTTCATGATCAAAGACCATTAAATCCATCTTGCAAAAATCTACTTTTATTTTAAATGGTATTCTCTTCCACAGAAATAGGTAATTCTAACCATTTTGCTATTCTGAAAATTTGTTAATTTTTTCAGTTGCGTTGTTCATAGAAGTTATTCTGAGGAAGATAAAAGGTGTAAACTCTGGAATGGCTTGATGATCTAATCTTCTATATATTGAAGTATGTTTTGTGTAATTGGTCAGCTGTAATTTTTTTTATTTGTTTGGGATTATGTGGGTTTGTTTAATTTTTGTTTGGGATTTTTTTTTTTTTTATTTCTTTTTACTGAAGTTTTATGGTTGTTACATTACAGGGCTTGACATTCGTGGAGGTCCCTTTCATCCCTCTCTTGATTATATAGATCATTAAACTGGAGATAGGAGTGTGATCAGCAGTGTCATTAGTGTTGAGAACAGAATGTACTACCCACTCAAATCAGGGATTTATAATCTTTTTTGTGACTTTGTGCCAGGAGGAAAACTCTTTTGTCAGTCTTCATTGCTTTTGAAATTGTTATCCTTTATCAGCTCAATACTGGTTGCTTTAGTTGGCAGTTTTGGTTATGAACACCCAAGGTATTCTGATGCTTGAAATGTAACTTTTCTTCCCTATCAATGGGTAGTATTTTCATCTTTTCCTGGAAACACCAGTTGAAACTGCGATATATCCAAGTATCTCTACTCTCTTTTTCTTTTAAAATTCTCAAAAGACAATTGAAGCTCAAATACTGCTTTGTTTTTTTGCTACTTGAGTATAGCAATTTGAAAAAACCCAACAGTCATAAAGAAATTAGTTAAATAGCTTAAGTCACAAACTAATACTAATATATATAGTTTTTAGTTAAGTCTATAAATTAAGGTAAAACCCAAGTGCATTATATTAACATTGGTAAGCAGTCACAGTTCATTTTGTGATTACTACTTGATTTCCATAACATTGTTCATAAGCTATTATATGAAGCTTGCATTTACATGAAAGAAAGTGAGAAGGGCATACCCTGACAGTACTGCAGATATGCCTTTGATTAAATGCTTTCATTTTAGAGGACACAAGCATTTGGAGGTAATGGCGAGTGTAGAAAGCTTTATCTAAGGACATTTTCTAAACATTCACAGAGATTATCCCTTTCAAAAAGAATAATGATGTTGTGGCTTTACCCAAGCTGGCAACAAATACCCCTCAGACACTCCTCCTCCTCCTTGGTAGGACAGGGAGGGGAATTAATGGGAAAAAAAAATCCGAACAAAAAAACCACCCACAAAAAAACCCCACTGTGGGTTGAGATAAGAACAGTTTAATAACTGAAACCAAGCAAAATATGATAATATTAATGATAATAGTAAGAATAAAAACATAATACTGCTGATAATAATACTATGAAGAGTTATTTTTTCATGGAATTTTTTCTGTGTGGACTTGTACAGAATTTGAGAAAGGCCCTCTTTCTCTTCTGGAAGAGTGTGGGAAATACATTTGTTATAATTTCAAAAGATACCTGTTGGATTTAGTCTCAAGTTATCCATTAAATTTGTGATGACAAAAGTTCTGGTCTGAGGAATAAAAATTTGAAATGAAAATTTTATTTCATTTATTGTTTTCATACCTAGTTAGGCTTTGAATCAGATATATTTAAAATTAAAAAAATAAAATGCTGTATAGCACATGTTCTAGAGTTTTGGATTTGATTTGGATGTTTTATTATTCCCTACCTCCACCCCTCCTCCATCTGAATTGTCCTCCCCTCCTTTACGTAACTGAATGCACAAATTAATTTTATTTTAAAGTATTTTAGGACTCAGAATATTCATGTTATCATTAAGATCACCTGAAGGAGGGATCTCAGTTCTTCAGACAGGGATCACTGTTTTTTGAAGATTTGATTTGACTGTTGCAAATTTACAGAAATTTTATTTAAAGTTTAGATGTGAAAGAAACAGAATTGATATTGATTCTCAAATATTAGTATTCTTGCACCTTATGTGAAACTTTAATCCTGGAGATTTTATAGAAGACCTTTCTGGAATTTAGAGCTTTGTCTAGAGCCCTGCAAGTATGAATACATACAAAAAATTACTATCTTTTACGTAAAGAAAACCTTCTGTTGATTGTGGTGTTGTGTCACCCACGTACCTAAAAATTCCACATACATAAAAATATTTCTCAGTTTTTACTTTTAAACATAGCATTCATACAATGTAGGCATTTGCCTCCTATCTTGTGGTTTCTTGGTTTGTGGAAGTGAAATATGTTATATTATAGAAAGTGTGTGCAGATTAAAATTCTGTCCTTTATCAGTTTGCTTGGGAACGTGTTTTACATTCTGTATTTACTATGTGGTCAGCTAGCCTGGGAAGCAGTCCCATAATAAGCATTTGTTTTATTCTGTGCCATTTGTTTTATTCTGTACATTGTAGACAGGTGGAATTTTTTTTTTATTGGATGACATGCATGCTTATTGAAAAAGAACTAACAAACTTGAAACAATGCCAAAGGAAAAAGCATTCTAACACTGAGAATCATGTTGATGATGAACTGGGAGTCCAAATGTTGGCTTTTTCTGACAGATTTACAAATGAGAAAGTAATTTAAAATCTTGAATGTATTCTATTTTATATTAGGATAGTGAAGTATGTTCAATAACTGTTCATGTTCGCAGTGAAGAATTCACATAAAATTTTCATGGAGCTGAAGCTTACTCATCCATTTTAGTCGGAGTTGTGTTATAGCAGGGTGGCTAATGTGATTTATGACATTTGCCAGATTTTCAGAAAAACGCAGGCCTTTGGCGTATCTTCTCTTCAGCTCCCTTTTTCACCCATCCTTACAGAACCCGAAAGATTGCAGCAAAGCTAAGAAACTTGTGTGTAACATCAACAAAGGCTGTGGCTATGGCTGCCAGCTTCACCACGTGGTGTACTGCTTCATGATCGCGTACGGCACGCAGCGCACGCTCATCCTGGAGTCGCAGAACTGGCGCTACGCCACGGGCGGCTGGGAGACCGTGTTCCGGCCCGTCAGCGAGACCTGCACCGACAGGGCGGGCTCCACCACCGGCCACTGGTCAGGTAAGCCTGAGCCGCCCTCTTCGCTCCTCCTGCTTTTCTGCGGCTTCTTCCCATAGAATTAATTTGTTCTCTCTTTCATGTGTTCTGTGGGGCATGATAACTGTGACTGCAGCTGTGTTTGTAAGCACCTTTTGTATTAAAAAAAAATTCCTTCATAAGATAGCTCTGCATTGGTAGTTTTTATAATACAAAAGTTTAGTATTTGAGACTTGAATTACAATTTTTCAGCAGGGTGCTGCTGTGTTCTCTGCTAGGTATTAATCTAGTTTTCATGAGAGGAGAGTATTAAATAGAGGCTGTTGTTAATAAACTTTTTAAGAAATAAGGAATATTTCCTTATAATATTAAGCAATAGGAATATAAAAGAAATGGTATCCAATAGTCACACCCCAAGAAAATAAACATAACATTTCAACAAAATATTTGAAAGGACTCCTAATGCAAGCTGAACAGAGCCAAAATTCATGCTATAAAAACAGTGGCGATGTTAAATATGAATTTTTATTTGCATATCAGCAAGCTGGTCCATTCTAATATCATGCTGAACAATTTGCCTAGAGTAAGTAGATGGACACTGATGTTTGGAGGATCAGGTAGCTTTGTTTGTGTCCAAGTAAGCAATGTTTGTTTTAAATGACATCTTTCTCCATGTGATTGGTAGTCAAAACATATCAACATCTTCAGTATTTTCACTAGGACACTGCATACCCAGCGCATATGGAATCTTAAAGTAACTATTAAAGTTTTACAGGTCTGAAATTAACTTAATCAGATTTACAAAATCCGTTTTACAACTTGCATGTAAACTTGCATGCTTACACATTGAAACAGCATTTGCGCATTGAAATAGCATCTGTTCTTCAGAGCTTCAAGATGCTACAAAATTGGCCTTGAGAATTCTAGTGAGTTTTGTGAATGAGTTTTTTGGGGTTTTTTTTTGCAAAAAATGCTACTTAGAAATGGTTGGATGTTTTATAAAAACAACTATAAATGGACAACAGATATTGAGAACTCCAGACAAAGTTTTATTTGTGTTTGGCAAAGTTATTGTGAGAGTACAGTCTGGACATGGCTTTCAGTGGACTCCTCTACGTGACTCCAGAATTTAGATGCAGCAGTTCTGTGAGCAGCTTTTGAGCACAGTAAGCTGGGAAACAGTTCACTCATGCACACATGGCTTCAAAAGGTCATATATTTTAGTGAAAATCTATTTAAATTTACTTGTATATCTGTTTATTTGTTCCCTGTTTTTTCAGGGATGAATAAGTCTGAAATTCTTGACTCTAGTTAGGAGCAGTTTGTTTGCAGAACCACAAGTTTAATATTTTTTTTCTCTACAAATTCTGAAGTCAGCAAGGGATTTTCTATATTTTCAAAATAAATATATTAAAGTGCATTGACATCTATCAATTTTCATTTTTCATAAACAAAACATTTCTCCTATGTGGTTTAAAGATTTTTAATTTTTTTAAAATTATGTTTCAAAAATATTCATACAAATGAATAATTTTATCAAGTGTTCAGTGTAAGTATTGGAAATAGGCCAACAAGTCAGAAAAATATATCCTCTAAGAGAGATGCTTTCATGTAATTTACAGACCTGAATAATTTTTAATTTTTTTTTTAACAATTTAGATTGTAATACCTTCTCCAAAGTTAAGAGGCTTATATTAGCTGAGAATATCTATAGTTCTGGAATTTTCTTTGTCCAGTCCTCTCCTAACTAGTTATAAAAGCTAAGCTTGTTTTTGGGATTTGGGAAGTAGAGTGACTTTGAATGAGCAAGCTGATATTTGCCTGATAGCAGAAGATCAGTAAGGCGTGTTCTCATCGGTGAGGAGCTAAGGGTCAGCTCAGCCCACGTCATGTATTGCAGGAGTTGTTCTTTGTGTTTGATGTGGTAGTTCTGGAATCAAGTTCAGCTTTTCTGGCTTAAGCATATTAAATGATTGGGAATTCTATTGCAGACTTCTGTAAATACAACAGTTGTTTTACACTGTGGCATAAGTTTTCCTTGTCCTTTGTTTCACTCGTACTGTCATTCTAGAGAAAAAATCTTGAGGGATGGTTGTATATATGCTCTTCTTAGTTCTAAAATTATATCTTGCCTGTAATTGCATCTTGCTTGTAGTTTGTTTTTCCTTTGATATCTATGGTCAAACTGTTTATGAATAATTTAGGTAGGAATTTTTATAAAAAGCATGAATGATTTACTAGTAATAGGAGCCAAAACGTAGAGAACTTGTGAAGACATATTTATCACAAAATTTTTGATTAATTTTCTTTAAATTAATTAGTTAGCCAGGTTATAATGTTATTATCATTGCTGCATGCTAAAGTGGAGCCTCTTCTTACAATTTTTTGCTTGCTGATTTATGATGTTATGGTGGTATTCTCCAATAATAAATTGAAAAAGGTCTACAAAATAACCAGACCAAAAAATCGTAAATGAAAAAGAAAACAGATGAATAGGAAGGACAGATTAATATACTGTTAGAAGTCATATCTGCATGTAAGCTGGAGAATGAAGGGATGTGGAGGTAAAGAAGTCATCTACTTGATTTAAATAACAGTATGTGCTCCTTCCCATAAGGCCTAAAAACCAGAAAGATGAAAGATAACTTGAAAAAGGAAACCTGAAACAAAGTTTCCTGCAGTTATCTTTGAATATTGATTTTGCTGCCTCTAACTATGGTTTGATGAATTAATGCTTTTGAGGAAGGGATACCCAGAGGGGAGAAAATGGCAGAGCTCTTCATTTGTTGGTTGTGCCAGCTTTTAAGTATTAATTGAACTACAAACTTAAAATATGAATTAGCTAATATGTTTATATGTATAATTCAAGAATGAGGATACTGTGGGTACACAAAATGAATGTTTAATTTATTAAAGTCTATCTGGCAACAGTAATCAAAAGGACCAAATAAAAATTGCAAAATCAAACCATAAAAGTTGTACAGAATTAATTGCAATGAATTAAGAAGTTTCACTCCATGAACTAGATATTCCTTGACAGTAGTTTTTTGTGGAAATAGCTGAATATTTAGTATTGGCCTAAAAAAACCACTTTAACTTGCATGCAATTGTATGAATTATGTTTTGCTCCCACATCTCACTCTTATTTATAAAAATTTGCAGAAATAATGGATTAATTTCTAGTTCTAATTCTTAACATTGTGTTTATACAATGACTTCATTAGTTACATTTTAATTCAAACAAGTTCCATTTCTATGAAGCAAGCTGGAGAACAGTGATTTGAGAGAACAGAGTGGAACAGCAACCTCTCTGAATTTTCCCTTTTTTCAATTGTGTTAATCTTGAAATCAAGCTACTGATGCTGTGTAGATTTTTTGTCTTCAAGGTGCCTTGTAAGATACTCTGTGTAAAGACATTTGTCTGTGTAAACACAGAAATATATTTGGGAAGTGGTAACTTCTTTTAAAAGGACCTTGGAATTCTAATGAAGTAGGTCTGAGTTTTCAGAGCAATGCAGTGGCCTACAAGAGCTACGTGTGATCCTTGTTCATGTCTAAGTGGAGCGTCATGGAATAATAGCAAGAAGTTATTTTCACTGTGCAGAGCAAAGACAGGCTGCAGGACACTGTCTACTTCTGTTATCTGATCTTCAAAGTGAATATTGTTTATGAAAGGATTCTGAGAAAGACCTACATTGATTCAAGGACATAAAAATCTGCCTTACAGTCTGAGATTAAAAACCATAATTCAGTTCTAAAACAGAGCAAGTTTTAAAAGCTGGTCCTGCCACATTTTGTAGGTATTTCTATATGCAAAATATTTCTACTTTTAGACAAAGATGTGGCTGGATTATTTTAATTAGAGATGAGGTCTGCTTTTTAATAATAACTCACTGCTGCTGTTGACCCCTATTATGGCAACTGCTGCAGAAGCAGAAAAGCAAAAAAATTGGATGATCTGACATTGGAATTACAGGAGATGCAGTCTTTTCTTGTAACTAGCTTTATTTCTTTGGGGGATTTTCAACCAGAAGAATATTTGCCTTTGGTTTTTTGGAGTGGGTATGGAGGTTTTTAAAATGTGTTTGTTTTGTAATGATATTTTTAATATTGTCTTACAATTTGTGTCATGAAGTTCACTTGTGCAGTCCCAAATCTGCCATACTAAACTAAATTAATTTGTATTTTAAGGAGGTTGTAATAAAATACATCTGTGTGTTCTTTCATGCTATAATCAGTCATGCCAAGTTGATCCTAATTAAGCCATTTATGTGGCCTAAATGTTCCGCTGGCTCTCCTCTAATTATATGAGGAATTACATCAAATCTGCTCTTGGTAAAAGAATGGTGTTCTTGGAAGTTGTTTTGCATGTCAGTGGCATCTCTTAACAGGATGGGAGATAAATCTGAAATACTTTCATTTAAATACAGCTATTGTCCAGTAAATTTTCTGAGAGCAGAAGTAAGAATTTCTGGATTTCTTTAAGGGTTGATGTATATAATTGTGCTATCTATCAAAAAATGCTCAAGAAGCAGAAGCATTGGGCTTGTATACAGTGAGTTCTCTTTCTGTCATTGAGTGTTTGATGATAGTTCCTTGCATGGGCAGGACCATAAGCAGATTAGCAACTGTTTTCCATGAGAATTCTTTAACTGTATTGAAATGAAAGAAGATTACCTAAATGTGCCCTGGCTGAAGATAATTACTTTCCAAATAGCAGGGGCTTCTTTCCCTACATTTCTTGATAAGGGGAAGCTGAAAACTTAGAAATCCAAAGAGTGCATGGAGGTGAGGAAAAGGATTCTTGGCTTTGTTCTGTTCAGTGGTAGGAATAATCAATCTCATATTAAATCACAGATCTTAAGCTGTTCATATGAATTACTACACTTTGAAGCATGGCTTTCCCTTTTTCCTAACAGATTGATGTTGCCCCCCCACAATATAGTAGCAAAACTAGTACCTGTAGGTTAGTGGTTAATTGCAGACTTTCCTCACGAGCATTAAGTCATGGATGAAAAATTACA